CACCAAGAAAGAAGACATTGCACAACAAGTGGGTGTACCGGATGAAGACTGCGTTTGGTGGTAGTAAGAGCTACAAGACTGGACTTGTTAAAAAGGGCTTTCAGCAGAAGCAGGACATTGCTCATGCAGTGGGAGTTGTAAGCAGATACATGAGTAACCTAGGAAAGAGTTTGCCGGTACAATGCTACGTTGACGGTGATATGTCAACTGAGGGTGTTACTCGTGAGAAACTGAAATTATGCTCAACTTCAGCTGGTCTTCTGACATGAAGAACAGGGTTTTGAGTTGCAGAGGTGAAGGATATCACGTTTGAGGAAAAAGTCGGTACAGTTAGTAGATGATGCAGCTAGTAGGTGATGCATTCAGTGTTCCAGTCTCCAAGTGGGAGAATTGTTGGGTAATGTGGAAACTCAGTCCACCGAATTTAATTAGCTTCTTAATTAAGTATCTCACCTACCGCTCACCTACCACACCCACCCACCACTCACCTACCATATCCCACCTACCACTCACCTACCTCCCGCCTACCGCTCTCATGGTTTCTATAAATAGTATCTTTTGGTTTAAAGCTAAGCAAAACCAAGTCCTTTTGAGAGCTAAGACAAAGAGAGGAGAGAGAAAGAAAGGGAGAGAAGAAAATAGAGATTTTCTTGTAAACGTCGAGACGCTCAACGGTGCAATTCCTCGTAGTAAAATCCTCTGCAGCTCCGTGGACGTAGGCAATTTTGCTGAACCACGTAAATATGTGTGTCGCTCTGGTATTTTTTCTGCGTGCAACTTTTCTCGTTCCAATTTTTCGCTTTATTGCCGTCGTTTTTCACAACAAGCTTAGGGTTTGTCGTTTGTGTTCGTTCTCTAATCTTTACTTCCGTTTGTCTTCGATAAAGTTTTTTTGTCCTCAAAGAGTCGGTGACTCGGCGTTGGATCGACTGCTCGGTATTCTTGCTTGGTTGCTCAATATTCTTGCTTGGTTGCTTGTAAGGCTACTGAGGAGTTATCTTTGAGTATCTTTTCTTTAAAATTTTATATTTATCTTTAAGTTCGCCTCTTAGCTTAAATTTTCTTATATTTCTTTTAGATTTATTTAGTTGTTTTTAGTGAAACCTAGTTTTTGAAATTTTTTGGAGTGAAATCTCGTATATTGTCTTTATCTGAATTTTTATGGATAAAATCTGATATTATGGTTTTGTTGTGAGTTGTGTTTCGGTTATTGTACATTTGTGTTGTGATTCATACAAATTTAAGCATTAATTGCATACAGATTTAAGTTTTTGAAAGATTTTGAACAATTCAAATAATTCGAACAATATAATAAATTTATAAGATTTCGAACAATTCAAACAATTGCAATAATTCGAACAATTAGAACATTTCAAACATTTCAAACAAATCAAACTGAACACGAACAAACATGAACAATAATTTTACGAACAATTTCAAACACGAGTCTATTTCAAACACATGTAATTTCAAACGAACTGAACACGAACAAGAGCTGTGTTCGTTCGACAGAACCTAAAAAAAGAAGCTAGTTCCGCCCTGAAGATGGCCCTATTCTGCAGCCAAATAATAAACAACTTCATGATCTAATTTGATCATTTTTATGAAGATTTGACACTTGATGAAGGTAGATGAAATCGGCTCATTTGTAGGTGTGTTTGTAAATATATATATAAGTAAACTTACAGGAAAATGTTTCGTTTTCTAATTTTCAAATTTTGTATTGTTAATCTGAGTGGTTTGCCGTCAAGTTGTTCACATATTACGTCTACCCTCCCTCTCATGTGCACGTTTCTCGCTCACTCGCTACAAGCAAACTGGTCAAAGGGGGGTTTGAATCCGTGACCTAAGGGGACTTACGACCTTCAAAAAGGTTGCTCTTCCAACAGGCTTATGCGGCGAGAATTTGTTAAGCTTAATAATAATGATGCAATGTAACCCGAACTATAATATAATTTAAATGAAAATAATTTATCTTTAAAAATCTCTTTAAAATTACAATTCTCGTTTACATACTACGCAAGTATACGTATCGCTCAAGTAATATAGCGCTATAAAGGAGTCCTAGATATCGATCCCACAGGAAAGCTGGAAATATATATAAGCTAGTTATTTATATTCTATTATAATATAAAAATAAAGCGAAGAACTAAGTTTGAAATTAAACTACTTAAGTGAAATGCTACTGACTATGCAGATGTACGACTATAACAAGTAAATTAAACTAAATGTTAAACTTTCAAAAGTAAATTAATGAAATATAAAATAAAGGTTTTTATTGACGAAAAATTCAAGTATGAGAAAACATCCTTCCATTTACAATGAAAATATGGCTCGTGAAGAAATTGAAATTATTTGTAAAATATACTTAAAAATTATTTTATGTCAAATAGGAGCAATCATATTCTTTACCCTCTTCCGAGCGCTATAAAGAACATTGACTAATCCAGAGTTTAGTCCCTAATTCCGTGGTTAGGCTGAGAAGATACCGGCTGTCACTCCAGAGCTCTCACTACTCCCTCCCCTGAGGGCTAACATGCTCGCATTAGTTTTCAATCAACTGAACCAAATTGGGGACTCTAATATGTCACCTTAAAATCTTCCAATTTTACATCCATCAAAATATATTTTCCTATTTATTTGCACCTAATCCCATGAATGAAATAATCTCCCATGAAATCAAATGTGATTCTCCCTTTGTTGTAGAAATCATATCCATTTTCAGAACATATAATTCTCAATATATTTTAACAATTCAATTGGTCATATCGAAAAGTAAATGAAGATCGGATTTCAAATCATCACAAAATATTGACATTTAAAACCGTAGAAAGCAAAATCAATTCTTCACAAAATCATTTCTTCAAAGTAGGAAGAAGGATAAAAAAAACTACTCAAAATTCATGATAAGAATACGATAAAACACGGATTTCATATATGAAAATAAATTTACAAACAAAAGAAATAAAAAATACAACTTATCTCACAATCCTTTCCAAGCAAATCCCTAAAAGTTCTCTCCAAGTCTCTCTTTACAATCTCTCCCAATTCTCTCTTTACAATCTCTCCCAATTCTCTCTTCGAAGTGTAATGAAGAAGAAATCACTCACTTTCTCTCTCCTCTTACAACCCTAGAAGAAAATCTCATCATTTCTCTCCCTAACTCACGCTTCTCTCTCTCTCTCTAACTTTTCATTCCCCCTTCTAGTCTCTCTAGAGGTTCTTTTTTGTTGGCTGGTTCTCTCTTCTCAAAAGAATCTCAATTCCCTCCAAAATTCAAAAGTCAAAACTTTGAATTTCAAAAGATGTGTCTCATTGTTCCAAGAGTTAAATCCCTTCAAATTGGAACATTCCAAAGTGTCCACATGCATTGAATCATTCTATGGGGTGCTTAGAACAAGTATCCCTGTGAAAATTCGCGCAAAATTCATCTCAAACCGCCTTAATTTGAAAAAGTCATATCTGGCGTATCATGCGCCACTCTGGCGCATCATACGCCACTCTGGCTCATCATGCGTCAGTGCTCTAGATTTTGACGCATCATGCGCCAATTTGGCGCATGCAAAAAATTGGTTGTTTTACTCTAAATTTCGCTCTTTTTGTCATTTTTGCTCTAAATGTCTAAAAATAAAATATCTGCAATAAAAACATAAAAATATCATTTTTTTTAAGTGTAATATCACCAAAAATAGACATAAAAAGAGTACTTAAGACAGTATATTATTTTTGTGGATCACAGGCCACGGGTGGCGGCGCGCACACACACACACACACACACACAGATATATATATAAATTGAATCCTTTTAGAATGTAGGGTCCTATATTATTTGTGAGTGGATACACCTTGGTCGAAAACCCAATAATGTAGGAAGAGTGTTGTGAGAGAGAATGAGATGGAAAAAGTCTCAGGTGGCAGTTCTTTAGAGGAAGAAATAAATAGCAAAAGACAACGTGTTCTCTGGAAGAAAAGCTGGGATTCTCCAAGAAAGTGAAATGAGAGGGCAAGAAAGAGAGAGAGAGAGAGAGAGAATAATATAAAATTGTCGGCGAAAGACATTAAGAACAATATTATTGACTTCTCTCTGACCAACGCTAAAATTATGAAACATTGTCGACTAAAGTCAGATACTGCTGGTATGATGGTCATCCCTATTGTATGGATGATGAGACTGAATTCACACACACACACACACACAATTCATAGAAATTGTTCTTGTTAACTTTTCATTTGATTTAAGTACAACTATATTGTGAAACTAATGAATTATTTATCCACCATCCAGACCACTTATTAGGAGATCACTTGTGCATGCTTGATGCAAGATCAAATGATCTTGAAATTTCATAAAATTACTTGATTTGCCGATGGGATATTATCTAATTAAAAAATCAAGACAAATTATAATTCTTTGGAAAATTCTCTATTCATATAGAAGAAAAATAGTAAAAACATGCATATATGTAGAAAGAGGGAGAGATGGTGCTGACAATTCCAATAATCAATGATTACATAACATGCCATACAAGGAATGGAATCATAAAAAATAAAACACACACACATACATAAATTAAAGCATACCGAGCAGGAAAAACAACACACGACTCCAACAAAAGCATGCAACATTCCTTGAAAAATATGACCACTAAGGAATAAGGATACAATGGTAATTTTATAAAAAACATAAGGCTAAACTACCATATGTAAATTTAATGGATTTGATGAAAATTAAATGATTCAGCCAAAAACAAAATATAGAATGATAAACATGGACATTTAACATGTGATCCATTTAAAAATCTAGAATATTTTTTCTCCATGCAATCATTCGTGAAGTATACATACTGCTCTGATTTCAAAATTGTAAGCCACAAACTAAAACACGGGCATGGGAACTAGCAAGTATTTATATGGTTCGTCACTACAGATATATGAGCGAAAAAGACCAAGAAAGAACTCAGAATATATAACATTACAGATTTATATCATTTATAGGTCCGTTATTTTGCTCTGTACCTCCTAATAACAGGAGAAACAAAATAAAACAGTAAAAAGAAGAGCTTGCTCACTTTGCCTCCCGCTGTTCCAAGTGGTTGATGTATCATAACTCTAGAATTTGGCATACAGAATCTCTTTCCTTTAGTTCCAGCAGCTAGCAAAAAGGCACCCATTGATGCAGCAAGGCCCAAGCACACAGTAGAAACATCAGCTTTACACAGCTTCATGGCATCGTATATCCCCATTCCTGTGAGAACATACAAAGGAAAAATTATAAAAATATCAGGATATATCTAGATCAAAACTTACATCCTTTAGAAACAGCTAATAGTTGCCACCAAAATTTTAACAACTAAAAAATAAGAAGACCACAGAACATGTCAGAAAAAAATAGCCCATGAAATTCTACTTGGCTCCATCAGAGGGCATGGATGGTTCATCCTTTACTCTAAAAGCAGATGTGGAGGTCCACCGTACACCCATCAATAAGAGGTTTGCGTCAAGAGCTGCATGACCTGAGTTAACTTCCCCGAATGCATGCATATTTATATATGAGTATGTGTTTACTTTCCTCCTTCGCCCTCTCTCTGGGTAAATATGCATGCGTGTCTAAGAAATGTAGAAGAACAAAAAAAAAAAGAAATTAGGTTGATTTCCATTAAACCCCAAATCTGTTTTTCCAGATGATTTCAGTATTTTATATATTCACTTCCCAGTTATCGGCGCTTCTTCCACTTCATAAATTTACATATTTACCAATAACATTTGTTTAAACATTTGTAAATAGACATTGTAATGATGTTCCTTTGCATGAAGGAATTCCAATAAATTAGTAACACAAAAATTGATACATGGATACACTTTTTACAACAAGAAAAATCACCATTTCCACAAAAAGTATTATTATATGTGTATTTTATCAAAGGATGATGAACATTATTTACAAATGTACCATCATCAACTTTCTTTAAAAAAGAACTGGACTTTTGGGATAAAAAAGGGTGCCTGAAGTGTCTGGTCTGCAGCAAATGGGGTCATTCATCATGGATCTAAGAGTAATAATATGAGAATTCAATTTGTAAGAAACAATAAATTTAGTTTTCTAATTCAACAAGGAAAATAGAGTATATGTAGACTTCGGTAGTATAGAACCTAAACTGCACATGTAATTAAATCGGAATTTTAGGGTTTTAAATTTTTGTTTTATGTTCTATGGGAAGAAGCTATGACAAGGAATGATAAGGTTGTATTCTGATAAAAAAAATGTAGGTGATTTTGCTTTGTATATGTCTAATACATGACATTGTGTCTATAAGAATTCAGCAAAAGGATGATTTGATGCTCAGGACAATGAGCCTGTCAGCCTAAATTCCATAATGCGGGTAATCGCCTTCATAATTTATAGTATTAATTCATTCCTCGAGACATTGCATTTGGACTATATCTGTTAAATTAAGCTTATATTCACAGATTGTTCAGCATGAAAACCTTTGTTATGATATATTCTGATTCTTCAATGTTTTTCTCACCTTCTTAAAAATAGAAAATATAATGCTTCACAGGATGATGCCTAATATCATATGGATAAACTCTACAAAAAAGATAGAATCATTGACATAACTATCCAAAAGAAGAAAATATCATAAATTGTGAAGCATTAATAATGTGTGCTAATCAAATTAAGCTTCTTGAAAATAGGTTATTTCTATGTCATCCATATGATAAATAATAAATGTCTTCTTATTGTGACCAGTCCATATTAATGAGACTGAAAATCTTAATTACAATTTCAAAATTACTACATATTATATGGATTTACAATGTAACATAATGTCAATCAAAACAAATAAAAAGTAAAAAACGTTTTATTGACATATGGCATTACTATAAAAAAGGATAGAACTAATCGAATATTAAGTTAATAACCACAATCTATCTGATGCAAAAGTCCTAATTCCAAATTTCCAAGCTTAAGTAACTGAAGATGAAATTCAACTCTTCCAATTTTGCAATAAATACATGTCTTACGTTCTAAAAAAAGGTATTATTGTAGAATAAAGGATTGTCTTACAATTTGATGAAAAAAAATCATATAGTTTAAAAATTAAGTATTTTGCATCAAATATTTAAATTAACTCAAAATATGGTTTTCCAAAAAGTTTTCATGTGAAGGAACAAAAATTTTATAATAGCAAGTATGATATTACCCATTTCACACATGCAATTGCCCTTGTGTGGGAAACACTTCTTATTTCCACAAGAATCTCACATGGGGCACATGCCAGTACTGGGTTGGAGCCTAAATTTACTGTAAAATGCTTTTAAGACAATTCTGGAAGTGTCAAACATTTGTCAGGGTATTTCAAAGCCATGTTAGTGTCTGAAACGGACACAAAAGGCATTTAAAAGTGCCGTGCTTAATAATGCAATATAATTAAAGATCAAATGATGCATTATATACTTGATTGTAATTGATTAGGGCTAAATTCTTTCATATTTTTTCTTCTCCCCTTAGGTTCAATTATGAATGATTTGTGTTATTAGTTATTTCTACATCAACGCAAATTAATTGAGCTACATTGCTCCCATAAATACGATACCTTTTCTACCCATTTGAATATGACTATATTCAGCAATCTTTTCTAATGTTTTTAGCAAATTTTTCAGCATTGGGACTCCCTTCTTCAATAGTATCCAGTCCATTGAATCAAAACGCAACCAACTCTTTATTTTTTCCATCAAATTATATCAAGATTCACTATTATTATATATAGATTGCAAGCAACTGTCTAATCTTTTGAAAACATTGGTTAACTTGCTCAAAAAAACATTACTAAAAAGTTTTATAGCTCTTCATTTCACACTATCTGCAGTTACTTTATATGTTTGAAAACATTGGTTAACTTGCTCAACTAAAAAGTTTTATAGGTCTTCATTTCACACTATCTGCAGTTACTTTATATGTTAACCAACTTTGTCGGCTTGCAATAGCCTAGGTTCCAATGAAATACATTTCTAAGGTTTTTTTTAAGATCATGATTCTACTTATAGTCTCCTTTCATTTCCTTCAACTCTCAGAATTCAATTCATCGACCAAAAAATAGACTGAAATTTTCCTAGAGAGATTATATACTTGTATAAAAGTGGGCCTTGCATTTTTAAGAATTATTTTCTTAATTCTTTTTTATTCTTCTTGATTTTGCTATTGGTTTTAACATGATTGATTTTGATCAAATTTAATACAACTTAGTTTCAATATGTAAATGAATTTTAAGACATCTTTGTGGCTTTCTTAACAATGAATAAATAGTCAATATTACTAATAGGATATTAAAGTTACATTTGAATTGATTTTCATTGCGTTTTTTATTTCATTGAAGGTAATAAATAATTGTTAAATATTAAGTTGTGATATGTGAATTTTGAGTGCATCTTGTATTTTGTTTAAATCATATCAAAACAAAATTAGAAACTCTAAACCTTAAGATGCCATATGTCAAATAGAATTTGCACATTAGCATAGCTTTACAAGATTAAATAGATCAATATCATTTAAAAAATGAATATTTTTGTTCTAGAAGAAACTAAAATTGATGTTCCTGCATATTTGCTTAAAGGTTAAAAGTTCTGACCTCGTAGTTGAAAATATTATTGAAGAGAAATCATGCCCACTATAAATAAAGACATCAGAGATACTTTACATGTGAAGAAATAGAGTTTATATGAGATGACTTATAAATATTTCTATATAAATGCAACGGCGAAGACCAAATTTATAGAAATATTGACTAAATACTTACCGGAGTCAAAAGTTTCATGTTGTATGGGATTAATGTGAAACAACTCCACACCTACTTTCTTTAGAGTTCTATTGCAAATCTAAAAGCATAAAAATATCAAAATATTGACTCAATAATCATGGAAATCAAAATATGCAATTGTCTTCATGCTTTTTATTTTCTTTCTAAATTTAAATGAATCATGCCAATGATGTTGGTGCCTAGGACAGTGGATTCTATCAAAAACCTTTTTAAGCCTTAATGATAATTTATGAGGAATAATTGTACTTTTATCGAAATGAGGCATAGTTCTTCCAATTATTGATTTCTGGCAGTGAGCTTTCTTCTAAGTTATTTTGTAATTGTTTTCAATATATAATTAAGATCATATCAAGTTTCATACATATTATTCATTATTTTTATGGTGTGAATTTAATACTTGTGAAATTCAATAATTATTCTTAAAAGTGCCTATGAAATTTTAGATTTTGACAGATTTTACAAACATCCTTTGGAGCCAATGAAGTTTCTTTTGTGATTCTGCATTAAAGAAGAATGTTTTCTTGCTTAAATTAAAAGTTGAGAAACTATACATTGGGATTTACAAACATCCTTTGGAGCCAATGAAGCTTCTTTTCTGATTCTGCATTAAAGAAGAACGTTCTCTTGCTTAAATTAAAAGTTGAGAAACTATACATTGTACTTTCTTGTAATTTTTGTGCACATCATCCAAAAACACTAGACCCTAAGACACCATAAATCATTGACTCCTTTTGCAGTTCTCTGTTCTCATGAAACCTTCTGTTAACTTGCTCAAGTGACTTTTCTACATATAGTATTCCACGTCTTATTTTGACATAAGCTGCAGCTAAATTCTGTAAATTGACTTTGGCAGCTTTTAACGTTTTAGGCTTCAGTGGAAATTTGTTTTAAGGTAATTTATGTAATCAGGATTCTAAAAATAGCCTCCTTTAGAGCTGAATAGAGGAATTCTTTTGAGGCCTTATGATTAGAAAATAGGGCTTAAGGCATCTACAAAGGTAATTGGTGATTGAATTAAATTTCTAGTTGGAAGTGCCTTTATTATACTCTAGCAATTCAATTCATTGATCAAATCAAAGACATGAAGAGTTTCGAAAGAAGTTATATCCTAGTAAAAAACGTAAGGATTGCCTTTTTTTAAGATTATTTTCCATATTCTTCTATATTTTATAATTGAAGTTTAATGTGTGGATAACTTAAAACAAATTTGACGCAACATGGTTTCATTATGTTAATGAATTGCTTAAGCATGAGTTTAAATTAAAATTTCTAGTTGAAGGTCATTAGATTATTTAAGGTCATTAATTTTCATTGAATGTAATAATAATTGTTAATATTTAAGTTTGTAACCTATGAATTTTGTTTGCACGTTGTATGAATTTTTTATTCTAATAGTAAAACTACATAAAAAAGGCTAAACCCTAGAAAGTCCTACATCACAGCAAATACGGGCGTTAACAAAGGATTTCAAGATTAAAGAACTCGATGTTATTTTCTATTCAAAAAGAAATAATAATATATGTTACTATATATACGCTGAAATATATAATGAAGGTAAGCACAAATGTTTAGAATGGGTTCCATGGTCAAAATAGAACAACCGTTTATGAAGAAGTCTTTATCCCACTAAGTGGGGTTGGCTACATGAATCAATTTCCTCCATTGTGTCCTATTCATTGTCATATTTTCATTTAATTCTAATAAATTAAGATCAATTTTAATACAACACGCCCAAGTCTTTTTAGTTCTACCTCTATATTTATTAACATAAGTCAAATCTAAAACAACAAATCTCCTAACGGGGTAAACAGATTGTCGATGTTTAATGCGATCAAACCATCTAAGGATTTCTTTAATATTGTCTCTCACGGGAGCTACTCCAACCCTTTCACGGATCTATTTGTTTCGCATTTTGTCTCTAAATGTCAAGCCACTCATCCATCAACACATTCTCATCTTGGCAACACTTAACTTTGTTTTATGTTTCTCTTATAAAGGCCTACATTTTTCTCCATAGAGCATTGCAGGTCTCACCACCATCTTATAAAATTTTCCTTTCAATCAAACCACTATTTTTCTATCACACAATAGGCCCGAAGAATTCCTCCACTTCAACCAACCAACTTTATAAGTGTAAAGCCACTCATCCACCTAACCATTCTCATCTTAGCAACACTTAACTTTGTTTTATGCTTTTTTTTAAAGGCCAACATTCTGCGCCATAAAACATTGCATATCTGATCACTTTCTTATAAAATTTTTCTTCAAGTCTAAGCAGTACTTTTATGTCACACAATAGGCGTGATGCATTTCTTCACTTCAACCAACCAACTTGAATTCTTCTAATAACATCTTCATTTATATCACCATCACTTTGTACAGTGGATCTGAGGTATCTCAAACGTTCACACTTTTTAATGATTTGATCATCCATAGTTACAACCCTGCGACTATATCTACTATTACTAAAATTACATTCCATGTATTCAATTTTAGATCCACTCAAACGAAAGCCTTTAGACTTTAAAGTTGACCTTATTGAAGTTTTTCTTGAACTCTCTCAAGTCTTACCAAAAAGAATGACATTATTAGCGAAAAGCATGCACCAAGGTACATCCTCCTATAAATGTCCAATAATAACATCCATTATTAAAGCGAAACGATATGAGCCTAAAGCTAGTCCCTAATGTAATCCAACTGAAATAGGAAAATACTTTGTCAATCCTCCTACTATTTGAACACAAGTAATAGATCTAACATACATATCTTAATGACTTGAATGTAAACAATCTCAATACCTTTTTTTTTAGAACTATCCAAACTAATTCTCTTAAAACCCTATCATAATATTTTTCTAAATCAATAAAAATCATATGTTAGTCTCTGCATATTTCTCCATCAAACCTCTCAATAAATGTATAGCTTCCATAGTAGACTTGCCCAGCATGAAAATTGAAACCACTAATACATCAAAAAAATCAGTGTTAGATCAACACCAAAAGGCAAAATTGTCTTTTATAAGCATACAGTCAATTTAGTCTTTTATTATTTTTATTTTTGGGTATAAATAGGGCTTAATAGCTTAGGAATAGTGTTATGCATGAGATTCTTGTCTTGAATCTTAAATATAGTATTTGAGAAACTTCTCTTGAATAGTAGAATTTGAAAGAGATCGCCTACTTATCGATTTGTAGGTGCTTATCTTTCGTTTCGTGTTGAATTGTTTAGTGTTCCAGAAATAAAATTATTATTTGCCCTAATTTCTGTATAGTTTTCTATCAAATTGGTATCAAAGCATCGATACTTCTTCATCGTCTCCGTTGCATGGCCTTCGTGACCTAGTCTAGCGAAACAGTCGCGATCTAAGCAAACTAGGAGGCCAACTAAGGGTTCGTAACATACAGGCGCTGAGAAGACCGATGGGTTTGCAACATACAACCATTGTCTTTGTCGGCACAATCGCGATAAGAGCTAGCTGGGCGCGACGATGAGATCACGCTTTATAGGCACTAGTTTTAATGATTAAACCATGCGAAACAATCATGATTTGAGGAAGAAAACAAGGGTTGCGACGAGACCTAATATGGTGATATAGTCACGATTGGAGCTAGCTGGAAAGGAACAAGTCGATTACAATGTCCAAGGCTGCGAATAGCCGAGATCGTGGAGGCCAAATCCACGAGACAGTGCAACTAGAGGTAGCAGAGAAGGTCGCAATGGGATTGTAGCCAATCGGCGCTCCTTTCATGCCACAGTCACAGAAGGCCAACGATAGGATCACGAGCTACAGATTGTAGAAAGGTCGAAGGATCTCAGCGTAAAGAAGTTTCGCGTCACTATTGGTCAAAACTAGCAATCGGTATCACGGCGTAAAGAAGTTCCACGTCGCTTGCGACGGCAACTTGTGATCAGGATCTACGGCGTACATGATTTCAAATTGTGGCCTCCAATAGTTCCAATAAACCACATACAAGAATTTCAGGATCGCAACGTCTAGAGTTCCGCACATGCCGAACATGTATTCGAAAATTTCAAATCTCATAATTTCATCATAAAGAAGTTTTAAAACCATCCAAGAGTAAGGGCAAGCCAAAAAGGTGGATGTTTTGAATGAAAAACTAGCATAAGAGGTTAATCAAATCAAATTTGGAATAGTAAAGCGTTTCACAATAGTGGAGAGGAGATTGGAGGTGAGGTTCACACCCTTAGAAGAAATGATAAAGAAAAGAATAGAGTCCCACACAAACCCTCCACTTCGCAATCTTGCAACAAGGTCAAACAATGACGTGTGGAATGGAAGTGAGCAATAGCAATCAAAAGAAATTGTGTGACATAAGGGCAACATCGTTGTCTCAGATGGATCTGAAGCAACGAGATCAGGTGAAGGAAATGGGAAGCAGACTTGAGCAACAAGACTTGGAAGTAATGACATGACATCTAGACGGTTGGAATGAGAGGCAACAGACAAAATAAGACAACGAACAATTTAGGGCAGAAAAATACCAATATGAAATATTTGGAATTGGAACAAGGAACCATGGTAAACGGGACCCCGACAGTTGCACCCAATCGCACTAGTGTCATTTGTTGCAACAGCCTTCAAGCAAAAAGGCGATTTCGGAGCTTATGGGGACGGACAAGCTGATTATGGGGCACACATATTTATGGAAGAAGGGAAATTAATATTGGTTTAATAAAGAAACCCCACCCCCGCCTTACGCGTAAAATGCACTTCGGTCAAAGAAATTAGGAAGACACATAAATAACTTGAAGATGCTAATCTTTAAAGGAGAGGATGTCTAACTGTTGATGGGTTAACGGGGAAAAAAAATTTGACGGCAGCAGCCCTGTATTTGAAAGGGTAGGCTCTAGCATGGTACAATAGAGAGAAAAACATCAACTAATTAGTAAAACATGGGAAGAATTCAAGAATTGGTTATTGGAACATTTATGAACCATTCAGAAAGGAGACCTACACGAGCAATTCTTTGTATTGACTCAGGAAGGGACTGTCATGGAGTATAGAGAGATATTCAAACTATTAACTGGAGGACCGAGGAGGATTTCTGAAGCAATATTAGAGATGAATTTTATGAAGAATCTAAAGGCTCACATACGTGCAACACTTCGCCCGTTGGGACTATGAGAATTAGGAGAAACTATGAAATTAGCACGGTTGAAGATCATAATGCAATGGAACATGGTAATAAGAGCAACACAGGCTGCGACAACCATTACGACACTAAGAGCTTAAGTAGTGGAAGCTCAGAGGGAGGCTTCACAAGACAAAAATCATGGGCCACAATAGGAGGCGACACTCAACGTCTTACAAAGACAGAGATCCAGAAAAAGCACTTTTAAAGGTTATGTTTTCAATGTGATGAGAAGTTTTCCCCAGGACACCGTTGCAAAAATCGAAAATTACAAGTTTTACAGTCTGTGACAAGAAAGCAAGGATGAATAAACTGAGGAAGTGGTGAAGGAACATTGTTATTTTTTTTCTATCTTGAGGACAATGTCTTTTTGGGAGAGGAGTAATATTAGATCGGCACCCAAGGGATAATTAGTCTTTTATTAGCCTACAGGCAATTCACTCTTTTATTATTTGTATTATTTGCTATACATATGGCTTAATAGCTTATGGTTAGGGTTATGCAAGTGAATGTCGTCTTGAGTCTTAGGGTTAGTGTTTGGTAGAGACTTCCAATATCTCGAATAGTAAGGTTTGAGAGAGATCGTTTGCCTTTAAAATTGTAGATGCTTATCTTATGCATTCAGGTTGAATTATTTGGTTCCAGAAATAAAATTATTATTTTCCCTAATTTCTATGGAGTTTCCTATCACATAGTTCCATAGTTTTTCAGAGTTGCAAATTATGCTTATGTTCATGGCAAGTTAATGCAATAAGCAACCCATAATAAGCAATAGAAATCAAATTACCTGTAGAAACATTTCAAAAGAAAAATAAAAAAAAATTTAAGAATATGGAAAATACCAGCTGTGACAGAACCACCGGGTGAATTTATAAATAGCTTAATATCCTTCTTCTGGTCCTCTGCATCTAAAAATAATAGTTGGCTGACAATCAAATCAGCAGTCATATCATCCACCTATAACGAATAATAGTGAGTACGAATAAATGAGGAAAAAGAGAAGGAAATGAAAGAAAACAAGTACACAACTTGGTTTCTCCTTAAGTTTCAGCTAACCAGAAATCATATAAAATATGAAATCAACTTATTTCCTCAACAATAAAAATAAAAAATAGAAATCAGAAGTAATTGGTAGATTCCTTACACATGGATAAATAGCCCTACAAAAGTGCTCACTAAATAATAAGACTCAGCATCTCTTATAAGAATTTTCTTTTCCATTCACGCTGAGTGATTTATGAGAACCATTTCACCTTTTATAATAAACCTTTCAAGTGTTACGATTC